GGGTCTGATCTATGGATAGCAATAGTAAATCAATAGTAAAACTCCCTTTTATTTCATTCTGATCTTAAGGATTTGATCCTTAGTATTTATAAAGTATTGCAACTTACCAACATGCAATTTATTTTCATGTATTCTGTACATGTATTCTGTACTTCAGTAAGAATCACATTTTAGTTTAATTATTTTGCAGCTTAATATTCATTAAATATTCTCATTTCAGAAAAGCCTTGTTGTGCAATCTTTCTTTAGTTAAATCTTCACTTGTGGTTCTGTAATAGTCCATTTATTTGTGTTTATTTATGACTGTGTGTTAGCTGGAAAAAAGAAAATGAAGTTATGAATTTTGACTTCTGATGAACAATGTTACAATCCTTGACTAATCTGTACCAAGGTAATGCATGTACAGTATTAAGCACAGCTAGTTTTAACTGCTGTTCTTATTTAACCAAAGAATGCTTCATTTCTAAAGTAATTTTCATCATTTACTTGTCTGTACTGTTTATGGATGTGTATTGCACTTTACAATGTATTTTGACTTGTAAAGATAATGAATGTTGTTAACAAATTATCCATCAAGCATTAAATGCAAATAAATAGCAAAAGGGAAGTTGCAGTTTGAATATTTTGATGTCTGTAATATGTTTTTAACAGGAATGAACAAAAGGAAGCTTGGTTGACAGCCTTTAAAATTTCTATCTTATCTAACTACTGTTTTTCTCAGTCTTGCACAATCTTCCTGGTGGAAAGAAGGCCATCTTTGTTCCTTTAAAGGGACTCTGGGAATTGACAGTCAGATCTTCAGATGTTTAGGGAGGAAGGAGAGGGATACACTGGGAAAATATGCACTTTTCTCTCCCCTCCCCCCACCCATCCATTCCTCTCTGTATTTGCTTTAATCTCAATGTAACACAGCATCCAATAGCCATACCTCATTCTTAACACAGCTCACCACTCACTCCTATACATGAAGGTATCAGGCAAGTGACTAGACATTGGTTTCAATCTTGTGTGAATTAACAATACTATGGAACTTCATTTCAATGCCATTTCTTCCCCTTCCCCTTGCTCTCCCTAATTCTCATCTCCATCTTGTTCTTACTGACTACTCTCTGGCCAAGGCCCATCATTCTTCTCCTCTTCCTCTCCCACATTATTACTGTACCTACTTTCACCAACCTCTTAGCTAGCCAGCCTTCCCCCTCCAGAGTTCCTGTGCCCGATCCAATAAATTAATTTGACTCACAGCCTTTAGCTCCTATTTACTCCTCACAATCATTGAAAGCCAATCAACCTCTCTATCTCCAGCCCAATCTCTTTCCTTGTGTCCATAACTGGCCTCTTCCCTTCCAACACTGTGGCAACAGTGCTGGGCTCCTTTCCTATCCATCTAATCAGTCAGCACTTTCTCCTCCCATTCCACCACCCTACATTCTTAAAACTGCATGCCCTGCAGCTGTTGTGTACAGTTCCCTTCATGTTACTGACTTCAATGCCAATTCATTCCTCCTCTCATCTTAATCTCCTACTCGCATCTGTGGTAACTTTAATTTCCATGTTGATGTCCACTGGCTGCTTTTAATTGCCTTTCCATAACCTCCTTATTTGATCTTCACTTTTGGACTGACTCAATGCACCATCTTGGTCACCTCTCTCGATCAAATTTTTATCAAACACTGCTCTTTTGTTCACTCTGAATTCTCTCTTGTCACTTGCTGTCCTTCAACATTGCTCACTTTCTGTCTGCCTCTATTCTGTCACTAACTCCATTCATCATCTCCAACTTATTGCCCTCTGACTTCTCTGCTGCTCTTCCCCCCCCTTCTTTCAACTCCATGATCTCTACATTTAACTCTCTTTGGTCTCTGCAGCTCTTGACTCCTTTTATCCCCCACCCCACCCTTGGCAATACTTTATATATTCCTTTAATTCTCAATCTTGGTTGTCCTCCTGATTTTGCTACTTTGATCTTTTTCTTGAAATGCTGAGTGCCTTTGGAGAGAGTCCTAAAACTACATCGCTAAGAAGTTTTAGAGAGTGCTCGAACTATACCGGCTTCCTCTACTCCAGTGGTTCTCAACCAGGGGTATGTTTACCACTGGCGGTACACAGAGGTCTTCCAGGGGGTACATCAACGTATCTAGGTATTTGCCTAGTTTTACAACAGGCTACATAAAAAGCCACTAGCGCAGTCAGTATAAACTAAAATTTCATACAGACAGTGACTTGTTTATACTGCTTTATATACAGTACACTGAAATGTAAGTGCAATATTTATATTTCAATTGATTTATTTCATAATTATATGGTGAAAGTGAGCAATTTTTCAATAACAGTGTGATGTGACACTTTTGTATATTTATGTCTGATTTTGTAAGCAAGTAGTTTTTAAGTGAAGTGTAACTTAGGGGTACGTAAGACAAATCAAACTCCTGAAAGGGATGCAGTAGTCTGGATAGGTTGCGAGACACTGCTATACTCCACTTTTAAAGAGTGGTTGGATTGGGGAATTTTTACTTTAAAAATGACCCTGGAATGGAATTTTAAACATATCAACCTTCATGCAGACAGGGAAAATAGCTGTTCTGCTGGTATAAACAGGGTCAACAGTGCTCAAGGCTTGGAACACTTCTACAAGGTGTTATGATCACTACTGGTTCAATCAGCTTAGTGGGAAAAAGGAGAAGCCTTGTTTGATAACATATCAGATGTAATATGATCATACCACATACCGCACTTTTTCTAAAAGAAAATGATGGTGACTGAAAGCATTAAAAAGTGATAGAAAGAGTAGCTGGGAAAACACGCAGATTACTTGGGCACTAAAAACAGCAAAATCATTAAATCCTTGATATAAATTTTATTTTGTATAGCTCAAGCTTTCCATACAACTAAAACAATAAATAAAACTGTTATCTTTATTTTTGTCTTAGGCTCTTCTCTTTTTGTTCACTTTTCTTTTTATAATTCAGTGTTTTCCAGTCTACAGGTTTTCCCTCAGACTAATATCTATAACAGTGGTTCTCAACCTTTTTGGGCTCAGGACCCATTTGTAAATGTTTATGGCCTGTCATGACCCAGTAAATAATAGTCTGAGGGTGGAGGCCCTGTGGTGGTTTCGGTCAGGTCCTGCCTGGCACTCACCCGACAGTGGCATCTCCTGTGCTGTGGGACTGGCTGGGCTGGGTTTGGCTCTCCGTTCTGGGCACTGCAACCTCCAAGGTTTCAGCGCCCCTGGGGTTTGGCCCCGCCCCCCTGACTTGACCAAATGCGTGTGAGTGGAGTTGTGACCTGGCTCATGGGGTTGCAGTGCCACTCAGTCAAATTTGGCCTAGCCAGGGTCCCATTATCATGATGACTGGGCCAAACCTGAATGGTGCTAGGATCCCAGACGTTGCAGCGCCTGGAGCAGGCAGGCGAGCCCAGCCAGTTCTTTGTGATAGAAGCCACAGGAGCCACCGCCCAACCCTTTGAAACATTCTGGTAACCCAATTTTGGGTCCTGACCCAGAGACTGAGAAATCCTGGTCTACAATTTGTTCATCCCTTTTAAAGGGAACACTTCCTGGACACTACAGTGCAAATAAGTGATGGTCACATAAACACCACCCTATACCGGAAACCTACTGGCCGCTATACTTACCTACATGCCTCCAGCTTCCATCCAGGATACATCACACGATCCATTGTCTACAGTCAAGCCCTAAGATACAACCGAATTTGCTCCAATCCCTCAGACAGAGACAAACACCTGTACGATCTTTATCAAGCATTCTTAAAATGACAATACCCACCTGGGGAAGTGAGGAAACAGATTGACAGAGCATGACAGGGACCCAGAAGTCACCTACTACAGGGCAGGCCCAACAAGGAAAATAACAGAACACCATTGGCCATCACATACAGCCCCCAGCTAAAACCTCTCCAGCATATCAACGATCTACAACCTATCCTGGAAAACGATCTTTCACTCTGACAGACCTTCAGAGGCAGGTCAGTCCTCGCTTACAGACAGCCCCACAACCTGAAGCAAATACTCACCAGCAACTACACACCACAACAAAGAAACACTAACGTAGGAACCAATCCCTGTAACAAACCCTGTTGCCTACTCTGTCCCCATATCTATCTACTCTAGTGACACCATCAGAGGACCCAACAACATCATCCACACCATCAGGGGCTCATTCACCTGCACATCTACTAATGTGATATATGCCATCATGTGCCTGCAATGCCCCTCTGCCATGTACATTGGCCAAACCAGACAGTCTCTACATAAAAGAATAAATGGACACAAATCAGACATCAGGAATGGTAACATACAAAAGCCAGTAGGAGAACATTTCACTCTCCCTGGACGTTTAATAACAGATTAAAAGTAGCCATCCTTCAACAACAAAAAACTTCAAAAACAGACTTCAAAGAAAAACGGCAGAACTACAATTCATTTGCAAATTTAATACCATTAATTTGAACTTGAATAGGGTCTGTGAGTGGTGGGCTCACTACAAAAGCAATTTTCCCTCTCTTAGTATTGACACTGCCTCATCAGTTATTGGGAATGGACCACATCCACCGTGACTGAATTGGCTTTGTTAACACTGGTTCTCCACTTGTAAGGTAACTCCCTTCTCTTCATGTGTCAGTATATTTATGCCTGCATCTGTAACTCTCAGTCCATGGATCTGAACAAGTGGGGTTATCTACCCATTAAAGCTTATGCCCAAATAAATTTGTTAGTCTTTAAGGTGACACTGGACTCCTCAGCTATTTTAAGGGTTTATTTGAGTTCTCTTTATCTTTAGTGATTTTGCTCTTCTCCTTGTCATGCTCTATTTTTGCCCATCCTCTCTATCTCTACCTGGCTTTTGACCCTTCATTCACCCTCCCTTCCTCTCATCCATTTCGCTCCTTCCCATCCTCCTCTGGGGATGACCCCTACAATGCAGGTGAGGAGTGTTTTGGAGCGTGCAGTGACTGACTAACTTGTGTGTCACTGACCAAACGTGGGCGAGCCAGCAGCCAGGCCTTCAATTAGTCACATCCTCTTGCTGGCATTAAAAAACAAACACAGACATCCAAGTGATCCTCCTCCTCCGGGCCTCTTCTGCGTTGGCCTTTCCAGGCCACGACCTACACCACTGAGCACTGAGGGGCGGGGAATGTCTTTCCTCCAGACCCTGCAAACGCTTCAGGGCAGGTGCCCGGATTCACTTTGATCGTTTTCAGGGGGGCCCCCTCAGCTGAGCACGTGCCTCCGCGTGGGCGGCCGGATCGGGGCCTCACGCGCTCACAATAAGGACTCTCCCGCAAGCCGGGAAACGGCGGCTCCTGGAGCACGCTCAGGGTCGCGAGCCGTTCAGATTCCCCCACCCCCACCCCGTGTTCTCAGGGCCAACGGTCGGGGGAGGAAGGAGCGGGCCGGGGTCAGGGGACATTAACTCTTCCGGTGCTGCCTCGAGGGCTCCCTTCCCCCGCTCGGCGCCGGCGCGCGCACAGGGCGGGTCTGTGGGCGGCAGCGGTTTGCGAAGGAGCCGCACGCAGGGCTCACCGCGGGACACCCCCTCACTTGGGCGGCCCCGCTAAGCGGGAGGAGCCGGCTCAGCCCGGCCTCCGCCTCCCATTAGCTGCGCTCGGGCCGCAACTCCCACTAGGGCGGGGAGGGCGCCCGTTACCTGCGCCGCGGCCTGGCTGGGGAAGTGGGCGGCGCCCCTCCGCCGCTCATTCTGCCCGCGGACCAGGAGGAGACAGGCGACGCAGACGGCCCAGGTCTCCCCGCTGGCCGCGGCCGTGCCATGCTGTGCCGTGCCCGCCTGACGCTGGTGGCGGCGGCGCTGCTGGCGCTGGGGGCCCCGCGCGGCGGCGGCGCCCGGCTCCTGGAGTGGTACACGGCGTGGGTGAGCACCGCCTACACCGAGCCGCTCAGCAACCGCACGGTGCGGGGCAGCGCCGAGAGCGGCCGCTACGGGGACAGCTCCCCCAAGGAGAGCGCGCAGGGCCTGGTGGGCATCCCCCGCGGCGCCTCCGCCCGCCACATGGACGGCTGCGCCTCGGACACCGACTACGATGTGCCTCTGCCGCCGGGGAGCCGCGGCCCGCCCAGCGGGGAGCCGCCGCCGCCCTGGATCGCGCTGGTGGCCCGCGGGGGCTGCACCTTCAAGGACAAAGTCACCAACGCGGCCCGGAAGCGGGCGGTGGCCGTGGTGATCTACAACGAGCCCCGCTTCGGCAACGCCACCGTCTCCATGTCCCATCTCGGTGAGTGGGGCCGCAGCCGGGGCGTTGAGTCGCGGTGCCTGGGGTCTCGGCAGAGGGCGGGGCCCGGGGGGAGGGGGCTCGAGGAAGAGGGTCCGGTGGGACAGGAGGACACTTAAGTGGGGAGTGAAGGGTTTTGGGGGTGGAAGCGAGGGTGTGTCTGGGTTCAGCATTCCCCGGTTTTGTGCTTCTAGTCAGTGGCTCACAGTGGTGACACGATGCTTTTCGGGGGAAAGGGAAAAGGGGAACACCATGAAGAGCCCTTACAAAGGACGTGTAGGGCTTGTTTCCTGTCACTACATAGAATTTTTCACTTGACCAGAGCTTTTACACCGAGTCTCTAAGAAGGGACGTAGAAACTATCAAGAAGTGTTGCAATGAACCTATTGATCAACTGCCCCAGGTCTTTCTGTGGTGAGTCTCACAGTAGTATCTGAACACATAATACATAAGAAGTTAATATGAGTACTTGTGGCACCTTAGAGACTAACAAATTTATTAGAGCATAAGCTTTCGTGGACTACAGCCCACTTCTTCGGATGCATATAGTCCATTCTATATGCATCCGAAGAAGTGGGCTGTAGTCCACGAAAGCTTATGCTCTAATAAATTTGTTAGTCTCTAAGGTGCCACAAGTACTCCTGTTCTTCTGTTTGCGGATACAGACTAACACGGCTGCTACTCTGAAAGAAGTTAATATGTTGCTCTTTAACTACAGGCTGAACAAAATTGTACAGGAGACCGCAGGGATATGTAAAAATGGCCACTTAAGACAGGGAATTACCTATTGGATGAGTCTTCAGTGCAGGCTTTATTGTAGTACTTACCACTTCATCTTCAAAGTACACATTATAGTCCTCACACCTCTCTGAAGTAAGGTAAGAAAAGTGATGTATAGAGGGATCAAATTGACTTGTCTAAGCGTGCCTAGCTATCTGTAGCCTACAGAAAGTGTCTGTGAATGTGCCAAGGTAAGAGCTCAGGTGTTCTGGCTCCACACAGTCTGCTGATTTTTGTGTGTGTGTGAAAGCATTACCTGCTTGAGAACTTTAAAAAAATGGGTAGGGTGAGTGTGGTGTGTGTGGGGTTTTTTTTTGTTTTGTTTTGTTTTTAGTTTTTTTAACTATTAAGTAGGTTTAAAGGCATAGGAGGAGACCTTCAGGGCAGAATATAAGGAGTAAGAAATCAAAGCATAGTGGGGGAAAAACCCTGTCGCAGATATCTGCAGACCTGCCACTGTGTAGTAATCTTACTAGTATCCAGGCAATCTTTCAAGAGGATTTTAAATAAATTTTAGTTTTTTGTTTTGTTTTTTTTTAAACAAGACAGTTTTCTTTTCCTCTAATAAAATTAGCTGAAAGTCAGCTTCGGAGTACCGTTGGCTCAAAGTATATTTGAGACCCTGAAAGGAAGCAAGTCCCTCTTGAAATAAGTGAGTGGCACCATCCTACAAGTTGGAATTATGATTAACTAGTACAATTAAGCTGCTTTGTAAGGCTATGTCTACACTAGCACTTTTGTGGGTATAATCTTCTGTTTGTCAGAGGTGTGGAACCCCCCTCCCCCCAACAACAGATGTTTTACTGACAAAAGTGCCAGTGTAGACAGACAGCACTGTGTCGACGGGAAGCGCTCTCTTGCCGACATAGCTACTACTGTTTGTTCGGGGTGGTTTAATTATGCCAATACGGAGAGCTCTCTCCCACTGGCATAAAAGCGGCTATGTGGGAGACCTTACAACCGCATAGCTGCAGCAGTAAACATACCCTAAGACTATGTCTGTGTTGCATACTTTACAGCAGTGCGTCTATGCCGCTGCAGCCTTGCCGTTGTAAGGTGCACAGTGTAAATGCTCTTTGTCGGTGGGAGAGAACTCTCCCGGCGACAAAATAAAACCAACACCAATGAGGGGCACTAGCTTTGTTGCTGGGAGCACACCACCTGCCAAGGAAATGCTATCCACACTGGTGCTTTTCATCATTAAAATTTTTGTCACTCGGGGGTGTTTTTTCACACCTCTGACAAAAATGTTATCGACAAACATGCTATTGTAGACATAGCCTAGGTGTCAGCTTGGGCTTCCTGGGTTTGGTTAATAACTCTCTCACAACCCTCATATTAGGCCTCTTTCTCCCTCCGATGATATACTCTGTCTGTAGAAGAAAACAATATAAAAAATACTTCCATCTTCCCCTCTCTTCTTGCAACAGATGCCTTTATACTATGCCTTGTCATAGTTGCTGTCTGCTTTTCTGTGAAATCTCTTCTTCACTTTAACTTTCTGCCTACATTCGATTCTTTCCTTTCCTGTTTTTTTCCCCCCTCTCCTTTTTAGTTTTCTATTTTTTATTTTTTTTCTGTTTCTTGTTTTACTTCCCTGTGCCCGCATCAGAAGGATTCGTGTTTCTACACTACAAACTTTTCTTGGTACACCTCTACCCCAATATAATGCTGTCCTCGGGAGCCAAAAAATCTTACCGTGTTATAGGTGAAACTGCGTTATATAGAACTTGCTTTGATCCGCCGGAGTGCGCAGCTCCGCCCCCCTGGAGCACTGCTTTACCGTGTTATATCCGAATTCGTGTTATATCGGGTCGCATTATATTGGGGTAGAGGTGTATTGTTGATCGGGGTATGAAGAGACTTGATTCATGACCAACATAGCTGTGCTGGCAAAAGCCCTTAGTGTAGACAGGGTATACTGGCAAAACTGCATTTTTGCTGGTATAGCTTATTTCATCAGAAGAAGGGGTAGACAATGAACAAGAGGACATATTGAATATACTTTCCTGTTTAAGATTTGCATACATGTGGTTCTGAGCTATACACATCTAGGTTAAATGTGTATCTGGATTGGGATCCGAGCTACGGGTGGTACTTCCTTGGCTCTCTAGTACTAAGCTACACAGAATACATTAAAAAGTGCTTAACACAGGTTGATAAACAGTGCTGATAAGTAACAAGATATTATAAAAAGAGAAATTTTCATCTGTTGGATTACACATAAGTAAAATTATTTAATTTTAGTTGAGTGGCTGTGCAGATGAAATTGTTCTCTATAGCTGGTAATGGTCTTTGGCTTGGTTTACAGATGGAAATTGTTTCTGATTTCTCTCTTCTTCCCCCCCCCCCCTTAACTAATTACTTGTTTTTATCCTCGTAATGGCTAGAGTGGTGGGTATTCTGTGACTAAAAAAAGGCCAACTGACATTAAGATCTAAATATTCTGGAGGGAGAGTATTATTCCATTGGAAGAGGCTCAAGCCTTAAAAACTCTTTAAAGATTTTTGATGAGGCTATTTGTATCTTTGAAATGAATTCTCAGTTTTCAGTATTTCTTTATGTCCACTTCTGATTGTAGGTTCCTCAGGGCAGAGACATGTTTTGCTGGTTTGTAAAGCTCCATGTACAGAAATGGCAGTGTAATAATTTCTTAACATGGATGAGAGTACAGTCCTCTTAGGTTTGTGAGAGAACCCTGATGCTTTCAGCATTATCCTGTCCAAGGGTTGCCTCTAAAGGATTTAAAAATACTGGAGTCAGAAAATGTGGTCTTCTCTTGATGGATAATAAAGGGGTTGGTTGAATTGTTAGCTTAACACAATTGAAATACCCTATTAAGATGCAGGCTAACACATTTGAAGCTGCAGTATGTTGTAGCTTAGGTGGGAGCCTTGGTGACATGACCAGCTAACACCACTTCAAACACAATAGCCTACATTTTAATGGTGTTTTGCAATTGGGCAAAAATATGTTTTTTCCAATTGTGTTAATGTCACATCAAAACATATCTTCATGGGGAGGAAGTAGTCTTGAATAAGCAGTCTGGAATGTATAAGGAAGCCCATGATGTTGATCCCAGCTTTAAAGCCTGAAGTCAATAGTTTCATGAGTAGGGTGGGTTGAAATCATTCCCTACGCCACCCCATGTATCAAGCTGGCTTCTTGTAGTTCTATTCCTTGTCTCCGAACTCGGAGGAGGAGAAAATCAGGCAGGGAAATATAATCCTTTGAGGAACCATAATAGTTTTAGCATACAGGGAAATAGGGGATGATACAAACGGCACTCTTGTCTCCCAGGTCACCTGAAAGTTGCACCTGTGGGTCTCCAGAACATTGTTAGCAAGTAAGCCCCCTTTCTTTGTTAGGTGCAATTTATTTACTTTAGAAAGATGTTGCGACAGACACCTCTGACAAAGGTCT